TCTTTGCTTAAGGTGGTTCCTTCTCCGACGAGCGAGGCCCACGTCATTCCTTTAGGGGGACTCTGCTTACCCCTTGGCTGCCGCGTGACACCAACAAGCCACGCGGGGTTGGAGCCTGCTAGTTCCTCGTGGACGACAGCCCGGGACGGAACTTCACACACTGTCCTCAGGGGAGGTTCCAAGTGCCCAGTCCAGGGCGCAGCGGACATGCATGGCCTTAGAGGTGACCCTCACACGCCGCAGCCCCCAGAATCTTCCGGAACATGCCTGCGAACGCCACGGTCAGGAGACAGCGGTGCGTTGTGGGATGGCTGCGTTTGCGCATGCGTGGGGCTCTGTTTCCGATGGGAGATGTCTGTCAGTCCTGAGTGGGGATTTGGGGCACTACAGGGCTTGGGGCAAGGGACCCCCATGGCAACCTTCCCCAGTTGGAGAAGGAAAACAATATCTCCACACCACTCAATTGCTACGCCCCCCCCAAAAAATAAAACCAAACTCACTGCTATTGAGCCGATTCCTACTCAAAGTGACCCTGTAGGTCCGAGTAGAACCACTCTGAAGGGGGTTTCTGAGGCTGTAACTCTTTTCCGGACGTTACAAAGTTTCATTTTTCCCCCTGGGAGCAGCCAGGGTATTTGAACCGCCGACCCTGTGGCTAGCAGGCCCGTAAGCACCAGCCGAGCTCAGCGCGGGAGGCAGCCCGGCCTCAGTGCTTCAGGTTCCCGGGGGCACAAGAACTACGCTCACACACAGCACCCAGTCAGGCCTTTATTGGGGCAGAGGAGCCAGTTCCCCACCCCGCAGGGACGTCAGACAGATAGGATCTCAACGTGGAACTCCACGGGGTTGCTCTCCGCCGGTACCAGGTCGTTGGTGTGGAAGGCGAGGGCACGCGCGGGGTCCTGGATCACGCAGAGCGCGCTGCGCTGGTGCAGGTAGCGCTGCCGGCACAGGCACATGCGGGCCCAGGCCTGCAGCCGCACGGCGGCCTGCTCCTGCACCACGTAGCCCTTCACCAGGCTGTGCAGACGCTGCTGCGCCCGCCTCTGCTTCACGGACCTCCACCAGCACTGAATCACCCAGGCCTGCAGGGCCGCCGCCAGGAGGGTCCGACGCACCAGGGTGCCGCGCCACCAGGCCTGGATCTTCAAGGCCGACTGCTGCTCTGCCAGAAACTAGCGGGCAAGCAAAGCGAAGGACTCCCAGTGGATTCGTCCCGTCACGGCAGCCCCCGCCGGTCTGCCAGACACGCCCGACCCTCAAGCACAGCAGTTCCCTTTCTCGCCTTCCACGAGTTCCCAGGACCCAGCAGACACACGGGTCTGCCCGCTGCTGCTCTCCCGTTGGCGATGGCAGGTGTGCTTGCGCCCACGCACCATCTGAGCGGCAGCAGCCCCGTCTGTCAGGAGGGTGTGCTTGCCCCGTGGGCCTCACAGGTGCACAGGAGAAGGGCAGGCACCTTCCAACTCAGCACACCAGACACAGGAGTGAGGAGCCCCTGGCGTCCACACCAGTTCCTCCAGCCTTGCCTTTCTCCCGCCCTCCTGAAGACCTGCAGTGGCGGCGGCGGTGGCAGTCATCACCTGAACCTGGGCAGCTTGCCTGCCCATGATGCTGCCCCAAGTGGTCTCTTTCTGGCCTCACTTGTTTCCAGAGGACCATCGCTTACCTCTGAGTCACTGCCACATGGGCAAAGCCCAGGCCCCTCCCTCTCCCTCTTCCCTTTTTTCCACTGTGCTGAGACCCAGCTCCCCTGTGGCCTTTCCACACCCTGATTCTCAGAGCCCCTACCCCCCACCCCCGTCTCCTCCACACCTAACTCAGCTTGACCAGGAGGGGGCGGGGGTCCTGGGAGAAAAGTATAATACTGAGATGACATCCTGACCCCCCTCTAAAGTGACCAGAGATGGACCTTCCCCTCCCGGGGTCCCTGGGCTCAGGGGATCAGACATCTGTGTTTCTCTCATTCGAGGGCCCCACCTACCTTGAACTTCACTTTCTTGACTGAGTTTTTAGATGAAGGGGACTTCTGGAATTAGAACGTGGGGAGAGCATGGGTGAGGACGAGCCTCTGTGAGCAGTCCCCATGGCTCCCACAGTTTCTGAGTTTTCTTGGGTTCCAGGAAGTTATGTAGTGTCCCCCTACCCCCAGTCCTAGAGCAAACCCCCCGCCATGCTCAGGGTGTAGCCCCGTCTTACAGAGTATGTCTTTCCCATGGTTTGGGGACAGTGCTTCAGGTGTCCAAAAAGCCCTTTTGGTTGCTGCTGCCTGGGAGAAGCAGGAAGAGGATGAGGAGGAGGTAGCCACAATGTCACAAGGGCCACTGTGACCCCATGTGCTCCTCCCCTCCCCCACCCACCACCCAGAAAACAAACCTGGCTGTCATGACTTTCTGTGTTGTGTAAATGTCCTCTATTCTAAATTTAGAGGACATCCCAAGGACAGGTGTGCCTCACTGAACACCAAGGACAGAGCTGCTGGAAGACATCAGGGACGTCATACAAGAAGAAAACAGAACCATCACAAAGGAAAGAAAGAAACAATAAGTGGATGTCAGAAGAGACTCTGAAGTCGCTCTGGTTTGTACAGGAGCTAACGCAAAAAGAAGAACTGCCGACGTCAAGAGCTGAATGAAAACCTTCAAAGGACAGATTGAGAAGACAAGATAAAGTGTTACAAGAAAGCAAAGACATGGAATCAGAAAACAAAAAGGGTAGAACATGTTCAGCACACATCGAGCTGAAAGAATTGAAGAAAAAAAATCAAGTCTTCAGTTGAAATATTGAGAGATCTATGGGCAAAATACTGAAGGGTGCAAAGAAGAAGGAAGAAATGCATAGTCACTCTGCCAGAAAGAATTGGTCACCAGTCTATCCTTTCCAGAGGAAGTGTACAATCAGGAACTGATGGTCCCGGGACAAAGCCCAAGCTGCACGGGAGGCATTAATGAGCAACGACCAAGCAAGCTCCCAGCATATTCCCAGTGGCGCTGTCGCACCTGTGGGCGTCTGAGACGATAACTCTTTATGGAGTAGGAAGCCTTGACCGCCTTCTGCAGAGCAGCTGGTGGATCCCCAACTGCCAACCTTGCGATTAGTAGCCTCATGCACAACCGCTGTGTCGCCACAAGGCCCCAGGAATTTAGAGAGTGCCATTTGAACTGTTTCAACAAGTCGATGGAGCACTGTAAACACTCCCTTGTCAATGCCAAGGAATTTGAAAGACGGCTACCGGGACAATCCACTGGAAGAGACCCATATCTGTGCCCATTCAAGAGAAAAGTACCCAATGGGATTCAGAAGTTATCAAACAATCGCACTGGTATCACGCAATTAAAATTTTGCTGAAGATCATTCAACAACAGTTGCCAAAGTCTGTTGACAGCTGCCAGAAATGTAAGCCAGATTCAGAAGACAGCGTGGCAGGAGGGATATCATTGCTGGCGTCAGATGGGTCTTGGCTGAAAGCAGAGAACACCAGAGATGTGTTGACTTGTGTGTCATTGACAGCGTGGATCATCACAAACCATGGATAGCACTGGGAAGAATAGGAATTCCAGCACACTTCATTGTCCTGGTGCAGACCCTGTACACAAAACAGGAGGAGCCTGTTCACAAACCAACAGGCAGTCCTTCTATCAGAAAAGGGAATACAGTGGTTTAAAATCAGGAAAGGTGTGGGTCAGGATTGTATCCTTTCGCCATATTAATTCAGTCTGTCTGCTGAGTAAATCTTTAGGCTAGACTACCTGGAGAAGAAGATGGCAACGGGACGAGAGGAAAACGTATTAAGAGCCTTCCATATGCAAGGTGACACCACCTTGCTTACTAAAAGCAAGCAGGGCCGAGGCATTTGCTGATGGAGATCAAGGACTACAGCAGCCAGTATGGATTGCAGTTCGGTGTAAAGAAAACCAAACATCCTCACAACTGGTAACATCATGGTAAACGGAGACAAGATTGAAGCTGTCGGGCATTTCGTCTTGCCTAGATTCCCATCCAATGCTCAGGGAAGCAGCAGTCAGGAAGTCAAAGGGCACATTGCATTGAGGGCAAACCTGCTGCACGAGCCTTCTTTGAAGTCCTCAGGGGTGTCACTCTGAGGACTAAGGTGTGCCTGGCCCAAGCCACAGTGTGTTCGGTCTCCTTACATGCATGTGAAACTTAGGGGCAGCGAATAAGAAAGGCTGAAGGAGGGAAAGCATTTGAATGAAGGCGCTGTTGAAGAACATTGAAAGAACCGTGGACTGCCAGACCACACACAAGTGTGTCTTGGTAAAGTACAGCCAGCATGCTCCTCAGAAGGGAGGATGGGGAGACTTTGGGCCATGCTCGTAGAATACAACAGTCCCAAGACAAGGGCATCGTGCTTGGTAAAGTGGACGGGGTGGCAAAGAGAAGCTCTGTTAAGGAGAGAGATTGCCACAGTGGCTTCAGCAATGGTTCAGCTGTGAGCACGAGTCAGGACCACCGGCAGTGTTTAGTTCTGCTATACGCAGGGCGGCTGTGAGCCCCTAACACCACCACCGCCCCACCCCCGTCAGCTTATTGGATGGCAGTGGCTTGTGAGTTGCTTGTGATTTTGGAAGCTGTGCCACCAGTCTTTCCAATACTAGCAGGGCCACCAATGGGGACAGGTTTCAGTAGCGCTCTGGACTAAGGTAATCTAGGGAGAAAGCCCTGGGGCTTTCTTTCCAAAAATTAGCAAATGAAGACTTAATGAATCGACTTGTTAGATACAACCCAACACTCCTCAGGATTGGGTTTCTGGGTTTGAGGGATGAGGACCCTAGTCTTTTCTTTTTTTAATCATTTTATTGGGGGCTCGCACAACTCTT